TCTCTGTTTCTTCATATTCTCTTTGTCTCTCTTTTTCTTCATATTCTCTTTGTCTCTCTTTTTCTTCATATTCCTCCTTTTGTCGTCGATCATTGACAGTAGCTACCAATACACTTGTTACAAAATCTGGATCAGCTAAATATTCTTTACTTTTCAAAATGATCGTTTTCAGATCCGCTACAGTAGCTTTTTGAGGTAATACTTCGCCAATTTCTTGGGCAACAATAATAAGATCTTCCTTTTTAAATCCTTTTGATGCTAAAAACATTTTTCAAATCAGAAATAGCGTATCAACGGTCCTGTCGCGGACGCCACAAATGTCGCTAATAATTGGAAATAAATACTGCGGACGCCTTTTTGTGTTATTCAAATGAACTACAAGTTCTACAGATGAATAAACAGATACGAATTAAAACTTAACAAAACATTTATTAATTCTAAAGCAATCTCAATTTAGTGATATTTACAAAACCTAACTAATTCGAACACTAAATAATCAACACAAAAACATTTCAAGTAGGTTGCCAACATAAAAACTAAAGTGTTAACAATAAAAATTAAATAAAAACAGTAACAGCAGTCAGAGTCACGTGACACCAACTGTAAAAACATATTACAATCTCTAACAGGTTTGATCAAGAAAGCTATTTGTTTAAACAGTCTGAACCTTTTCAAGTTATCTCGGAATGATAGTACATTTATTGACTGTGAATTCATAGAACGCTTAAGTGTTTGTTTAAAAATTTTATAGCACTTCCACCTAACAAAATTAACAGTTCAACTTCAACTCAATTCCTTTACAAATATTAATATATTATAAATGACCCGGATCGCATAATTGGTAGGATGTTGGAATCTTGTTCGCGAGAAAAGAAGTTCAAATCCAGTCATTCGAAGGATCCCCGTATAAATGGTGATTGGTGCACGCTAAATCCGTAGAGGGCACAAAGTCATCCAAGTTCCCACGACAAATAAATACCTCTGCGGGTACTGTATCGTATCAAGCTATATTAAGAAACAGTTCCTTGTTTTATAAAAAAAAACACATTTATTTCACAGCAACAAATAACGAAACGAAATTAAAGTACCCGTAACGTGTTAATACTAATCTTGAAAAAATATAGAAAAACCAGTATTGGGTGAGTATAAACTTCAAACTACAAAAACAAAAAACTATCTTCTAAAGAATCAACAAGTCTGTGTTGTTCTAAAAATTGTCTCGTTCATTTATTTTTAATTTATCTCTTTAGGTGTTTAATTTATTTTATACCTGCTTTTGCTTGCCAGATATTTTTTAATATTTTTAAACTTTATAGTACTTGCAAATATATTCTTGCAGAGAGGTTCCTGCAGAAGAATTCAGGTCAAAATTACGATCTACTGATATGGATTGAAGGTGTGTCACTGAGTCCTCTCTGTAAAACGGATTGTAACGAATGTGGATAGTAAAATCATACTCTTGGCCATAGAAGGCACCACTGTAAAACAAGAAGCGCACCCTCTGACAAAACTTGCTTGAATTCAAGCATTTATTTATTTGATTAAAAAGTGCCATAATATACTCATGGACAAAAAAATTCGCGCACCTTAGCTTGGCGCGCAATAGCTTGGTGCGCTAATTTTTTCGTCCATGAGTGTACTTTAATATCTGAAACTTTACTGGCATAAAAAATACCTCAGGAATCCAAGCTTCAGTTCTTAAACAACCCTTCATACTCCACTGTGTATGTCTAGAACACCTTTCTCAGAAATTACATTTTTCAAGTTAGCTAGACTCAGTACTAAAACAAATCTTATCCAATTGACTGCGAAATTAAACTTCCTATTTTATTTTATAATCTTTACAAATTTACATAAGATCATTACAGCTCATAGTATAATTTATTTGATAAAATCAATTTTCTGGTGACTTTTAAATAGAATTTGAAATTTTACTTTTTAATTTTGCTTTCCCTCAAACTTTAAAATTTCAGAAGATGCTGGCCTGGCCTTACTCAAATTAAAATGAAAGCCCTTTACTGAAAAACGAAACTTCACTGTCACAATTTTCTCTGGTATCATTATAGAGAAATTATCTTTTACAGTCACTAATTACTTAATGAATGTTTTTTTCAGAATTTTACAAGATTCTACTGCTTCACTAAAACAATTACCAAAACAATTACCNTTAAAATGAAAGCTCTTTACTGAAAAAAGAAACTTCACTTTCACAATTTTCTCTTGTATCATTATAGAGAAATTATCTTTTACAGTCACTAATTACTTAATGAATGTTTTTTTCTGAATTTTACAAGATTCTACTGCTTCACTAAAACAATTACCAGAACAATTACCTGCTAAACTAGCACAACGTATTATGACAATGTTATAATGTAAATGTGATGTAAATGTATATAAATTAATACAAAACCAAAGAAATTGTTATCTTCATAACACTGTGGACCAGAAGTCTATGATCTTTGGCCAAAAGTAAAAAATTAATTTTCAACTAAAATATGTGTAGGCAGTTTTATTATATCCCAAATTAAGTATTCATAATCATTAACCAAACCAATAATCATTAACCAAACCAAACATTACAATTTACTTTTTGGACAGACGAGAGTACAATCTATATTATATAAAACGCTAATGCGTATGTATTAATAAAACCGATGATATTTCTTTTCTCGCATTGGCAACAGTTTTCATTTTTAAGTGATAGGCTTCGACGCGCAAGAGCACGTAGTGAGCATCATATCGCTAATCTATATTATATAAAACGCTAATATATTTTAATTAATAGGCTTCGGCGCGCAAGAGCACGTAGTGAGTATCATATGTCTAATCTATATTACATAAAACGCTAATACGTATGTATCAATAAAACCGATTATATTTCTTTTCTCGCGTTGGCAACAGTTTTCATTTTTAATTGATAGGCTTCGGCGCGCAAGAGCACGTAGTGAGCATCATATGGCTAATCTATATTATATAAAACGCTAATACGTTTTAATTGATAGGCTTCGGCGCGCAAGAGCACGTAGTGAGCATCATATGTCTAATCGGGTGAATTCTCACCGAATTATCAAAAAAATTCTCACAAAATTATCTTCATCGAAGCCGATGCTTTACATCCGGCGTTCAGTACTATTTCATATTGTTTTACAACACATGGTTTTAGCCCTCTGGTGGGAAAGACTTTAAAACAAAACTTACAACAGTTACTTTTCTCAACAACTGAAATTAAGAATAGTGTGATTAAGAAAAATATGCGAACTGTTTTCAATTTTAAATTAATATTGAAAAGCACAGGTTTAGAATTTTCTACAGTGAAAAGTTTTCGGAACTTCAGTGTTCAAAAAAGTATACAAAAGCTAGACGTTTAGAGCGTATCCAATGAGCAAGCCAAGCGAGCATCGGATTGCGTATCAATCCGAAATGAACTGCGAAAGCAGTTTCGGGGTTGGCGAGCGCCAGCGAGCAGGGGGCGAAGTCTCCTAGTTTAATGAAAAATATGTTAACAAAATTATTTTTAAATGTAACTTTTAGATTTTTATTTCAGAAATATATATAAGAATTTCACCTTACTGTTACATTTTTATCAGAGTAATTAGTGTTAAATTATAGTACAATTTTTCAATTAGTCGGATTAGTTAATACTCTTGACAAACTTACAGTTTATATCTTATCATTTGACTTTTTACAATGTTTGAATAACTTTCGAAAATTAGTTCCAAAAAGTTCCACGAGATAATTAGCTAAACTTTTCTTTGTTGTCTTCTTTCGAAAAAATCTGGCCCATTTTTGCCCGTATTGAAAAGGTGGACTAAATATACCGAAAAACAAAAAATTATGTATTTTTTTCATGTTTTCGCGTTATTTTGTAAATAATTCGAGTTATTTTGTAATATTACTTCGGAAATATAATTTGCTTTTCATTTTTAACATAAAAATACGAAAATTATTATATTTTCATTGATATATTTATTTATTTAAACGTATTATATTATTTTTTATTTTTGCTCGCCGTATTTCCGTCACCATTTTGGTTTTTTGGGGGGTATTTTTAGTGTATTTTAAAATTTCAACAATGAATTCAATTTACCTGCACATAAAAACCCCTAAATACAAATTTTATCGAAATACTAATTTTGGCCACGAAACCTTGGATGCTGTCCCACTCTGCATAATCAGCATTGTGTAAACTGAGAACTGATATTCTCTGTAAGACACAGCGTAACATTTCTTAATTAATATTTTTTATCAAATATGAGATATAAAATAAATAAAATGAAATAAATACTGCATGGATATAAAATAAATAAAATCAAATAAATACTGCATGGATATAAAATAAATAAAATGAAATAAATACTGCATGGATATAAAATAAATAAAATGAAATAAATACTGCATGGATATAAAATAAATAAAATGAAATAAATACTGCATGATATAAAATAAATAAAAAATATCTAAGTCCGGAACAAAGTATTCTCTGATATAGTACCCAAATCATATATGCCCTAACTTATCGTATTTTATGCGTAATAAAAATATATTTGTCGTAAGATAAGTAAAAATGTTAGTTTGTAAACGTTTACGTTTTATAATATACTAAACTGATTGAAAACTCGTTGGTGAGTTTAAATCTTTTTGATAATAGTTAGACTTATTTTGTACCAGCTTATAAGATATCAGCCTTTAGGTCATTTAAAAATGTGCGAAAAAATGCTAAATCAGATGGAGTTTGCTCAGATTTTTTGTAGTAAACATTTAACCACTTAACGATCGGTTAATTTTCAAGAAAACGATCATAAAAGTGTATATTTCTTTGGCTTTCGCATTTGTATTAAGTATTTGATTAGTGCTGCAACTAGTCTAATATGGCCGGCCAGGTGGCCGAGTGGTTAGCGTGTCTGACTGCGGAGCCATTGGCCGCGGGTTCGAATCCCACTCTGGGCATGGATGTTTCTCTCTCTGTGTTGTCTTCTGTTGTGTGAATGAGTGAATGTGGCCCACCCTATGAACGGGTTTGTGGCAGTATGGCGTGGGTAACGTTGCTCGCCTCCGTGACTTTGGTTCACAGGTGCCCACTGGGTAACGCTAAATGAGTAACAATTCCGGCATCTTCTATGGCGAAGAACGAAAAGTGAAGTGCTTGCCGTTATGTAAGACAAAAAAAAACTCTAATATAAACTAACTATCTACAACTACCTTAAAAATATTCTGGCACTGCCATCTGATGCCATCATACCTTATGTAAAATGAGGAATAAAATTTTTTCCGGGCAAAAGAAATGAATTAGTTTTATTCTTATTGGCGCGTTACTACTGAACTCTTCAGCCCATCAATATCACGGGAGTGAGAAATAGCCAGTGAAATCTCACCCCGTCATTTTCACGGGAGCGAGAAGGAAAGGGTCAATAAAACTATTTTAACAAAGCATTCTCCTACAATAAGAATTCTATTCTAAACTCTCTCAACTAATTGAAATAAACTGAACAATGGGAATCAGATAACCAGTGAACCAAAGTAACTCAATCATAAATTATATATTTTCCAATTAACCAAGAGGTATGTGAGCTTGCTGCAATAAGTTTCTGATTACTACGCACGTCAGGCTGATTAGAAAATATTGAGACTTTCCAATTAGGCTGGTGCATAGGAAAATTATGGCTGGAGTTTTGCAAGGACTTCATTTTACAGTTTGCCTACGACAGAGGCATCAAACTAAAAATTTAGAATAGGAAGTAATAAGTTTAGTTTCTATAACTTGTTGAAAATTCCCTCAACATCTTCACTTGTATTTATTACAATAACTGTAATAGGTAAAAATTCCAGCTCTTTCGTAGATGCTTATTCAGCTCGAAAGATTTATTTATTTAACCCCTTAACGATCGGTTAATTTTCAAGAAAATGGTCATAAAAGTGCCTATTTTTCCAAATACACGCATTTGATTAGTGCTGGTATCTAGTTCAAAATAAACTAACTATTTACAATTACCATAAAAATATCCTGGTACTGCCATCTGGTGTAAAAAATGAGAAATAAAATGTTTTCCGGGCAAAAAGAAATGAATTAGTTTTATTCTTATTGGCGCATTACTACTGAACACTCCAGCCCGGAAATTTCACGGGAGCGAGAAATAACGAGCAAAGCCTCACCCCGTCATTTTCACGGGAGCAAGAAGGAAGGGGTTAAATATAATTTTAAACGTGTATTTGCTCCTTAAAAGCAGAATGGTCTCGTAGAAGAATGACCTCGATGACCATATTTTAGCTCCTGTAACTTAGATTGTTATATGCCTGTACCAGCGACGATTGTCTTTCATATTTCTGCCATCTGTATAAAAAAAAATTTTTTAAATTTTAAATATCTAATTCAGAAAAATCTCAGGTTTTATTTACTTTTAAAAAAAGGTTTTCAGTGTGCTTAACTAGAGTTACAAAATTTATGAGGCTTTAATTATGTTTTACATAGAATGTGACTATTTTTGAGTACTTTATTTTGCGTTAGGATGAAAAGGATATTTATAATCAAGTAAACGTTTGTTTGAAGCAATCAGTAAGACTTCTTTACTTTCGATTGCAATGGATGCGCATCTTAATTGGTAAGTAATAAAACAGTATAATAATTAAATAAATTTCAAAGATAAATTTATTTCATTAGTCATATTAAGTTTATTAGTTCATTTAGTTATTAATCATATCGTGTTAACAATCGTAATATTGTTTCGATACAAACTAAGCACAGTTGTACATTTTCTTGACTCTTTCGATATCACTTTCAGTCATTCCTGGTTTCTCGAAAGGTTCTTTCAATGGATGTCCATTTATGGCTTCCATGGTTTGCTTTGAATTTTTGGACATGGATACGTTACCATAGTGCATAATTGAGTCATAGTCGTAGGCGTTGTACAAGATATTTTGGTGTGGAGCAATCTTCATGAAATTGTGTTCATCACCTGAGTGGTAAAAACATTTCCTTAATGAGATTTGCTTTAGAAAGTATATCTATATAACTGAAGTATATCTATATAAAAGTAAATGAAAGTATATCTATATAAATATGACTATTGAAAGCATGAAAAACTAAAAGTGTAGAAAGTAACTAAAAACAAAATTACACAAAATCAGCCTTATATGTTATTCTTTTAAGTTTCATTTGCGAGTGTGATTAAATAACATAATTTCTTAAAAGGTACACTTCAAATATAATCATTGTTTTGCTTAATGAAAAGACTGAATTTTAAATCTGAAAAGTTTAAATCTCCCTCCCAAAAAAAGGAAGAAGAAAAACGCGATCCCTTGCTTTTTTAAACTATTTAAACTGAAATAGTAATACTGCTTCCCTTTAAAATATTAGAAGCCCTAATTATTAAGAAACATCTTAAATTGGTTTCGCTAAAATGCTTCAACCCGTTTGTAAACACCACTTTTGTATTGCTAGGTAGAATCTCATAAATCATATGAAATTGTCTGATTTCTTTTTAACAATCGAAATTGTATTTAAGTTTTAGTGTTAACCATTCTGCTTTTTTTATTTATACAGTACAAAAAGATTTAAAAACATAAATTAGCATTAAGAGAGATTTTATGGAACGCCAGTTTAAGTATTAAAATCAAGATTAGAAATTAACAAAACAATGTGTTGCGCTAATTTTTTTTCTATGAGTATACATTTTGCAATAATCTGTATTTTATAGCTTGTTGTTTGGTTGTGAAATAGAATACATTTTTACGCAATTTTTCGAAATTTTTTAATTAATTTTAATAGTGAAAAATGAGTCTCATATTGCCGAATGGGAAATAAAAGATACGAAGTACTGGATTATTTTGTCGCCTCGTGATTTGATACTTAAACCTCTTTAATTCATTTCTCACTGTAACAATTTCTCAAAATTGAGCAAAAATGTGACAAAATAACTCCGAAACAATTAGTAGTCAAATTTACAAACCACATATTCAACTCACATAGTCAAATTTACAAACCACCTATTCAAACCACATAGTCAAATTTACAAACCACATATTCAAACCACATAGTCAAATTTACAAACCACAAGTTCAAACAGCATATAATGCAAGCGAAGCTTTACCCCGACCCGTCCCATAGCGGGACATCCGAGAAATACGTGAAGACTATCGTAGCTGCAAACCTCGAATCAGTCGGAGGACCCAGTGGTGCATGGACACGTGGTTCCATGGCCCCGAGTCACGCCCGACGAGAACAACACTGTCGTTCGACGGACAGAGGAGGCCGAAAGGACAAGCCCGAGACGGGTGCGGCGGTGCCATGTTCGGCTGCGAACGACTCACCAGGAGTGTTGCACCGAGTTACGACCGCCACGCCACGACCCATCCAGGCACCCTCTGACTGGAAGATTACGAAACCCCTTTGAACTTTATTAAATATGCAACAAAATGGATTATACAACAAAATGGACCACCAACTCGGTGATCAAACAAAGGAGACAAATTTAAATAAAATCAATTACAGCATTAACACCCCAGGAAGGGGTGGAGGACGCCTTAGAACGGCTCACAAAAAGTGGGTCAATATTTGATGTGTTTTCGCAGGGCTGCTATTGCTCTTTGGAACGATGGGCAAGTTCTTTGGTTTGCTGAGTGATTCATGTTTAGCTTTAGGCCAAATCTTCGGTTTGCTGTCTCGCAGTTTACGCATTTGCTCTTATTTTTGCAGTTATTTCTCTTGTGCCCTTCGTCGCCGCAATTTACGCAGCATTCTTCCTTAGTGCAGTCTCGCGCCATGTGTCCAAAGCAGTTGCACTTGTAGCACCTAAGGGGTCTTAGGTATTCTTTGACTCGGATTATAGACCATCCAAGTTTTAGTATTCCTTTTCTCATTATGTTCTTAAAAACACATGGGTCAGTTTGAATAACCCAGTTGGTACCATTTAAGGATATGTGCCCATTTAAGGATTGTTTAGCATATAATGCAAAGCGAAATGTGTGTGAAGGGCGAAATGTGTGAGAAAGATGCCTGTTTGCAGCAGACAGGATTCGAATAAATGACCTCCGTGTTCGTAGTGGGATAGTCCAGCCATCAAAGTTGCCCAGACCAGGCAGAGTTTGGAATCTTAATAAAGACTCAATGACGCATCATTCCATACTAATTTCAAATTTCAAGAAGCAAAGGTTGTAATTTGGAAAATATGGTCCCATTGGCTTAGTTTTACATATTTCGCTGTATCATAAAATCTTTTTCAGTGAGCTTAATGTATCTCATGATATATCATTAAGGTGATCACTATATAAAGCTTTATACTCCCCCTGGACTGGTGTGTCCAACTATGGTGATCACAGCATGTACCACGGACTCGGAGGTCCTAGGTTCGAATGCTGCCGGCAGCCATCCAACTCTCTCTCACACACATTTTTGACTCATATTTCTTTCTTACACATATGAGTTATTTAAACTTCTTTTCAACGACAGAGAGAATTAAACTCAGCGCTTTTTTCCAGGATTACGCTGGACTATTATATGTGCGTAGATAATGTTCAATATAATCAAAAAATACATCGAGTAATTATTTTATGTACTTAAAATTAAATACTAACAGATTATTTTTTAAAAAAATTAAAGCCTATTTCTAGAATTTAGTTTCATTTGAATAAGGAAATATAAGTTTGGCAAATTTCACTCTTAATTAANCACGCATTTTTGACTCATATTTCTTTCTCTCACATATGAGTTATTTAAACTTCTTTTCAACGACAGAGAGAATTAAACTCAGCGCTTTTTTCCGGGATTACGCTGGACTATTATATGTGCGTAGATAATGTTCAATGAAATCAAAAATTACATCGAGTAATTATTTCATGTACTTAAAATTAAATACTAACAGATTATTTTTAAAAAAAATTAAAGCCTATTTCTAGAATTTAGTTTCATTTGAATAAGGAAATATAAGTTTGGCAAATTTCACTCTTAATTAAAAATATCACTTCCACATATTTCATCCATCATTAATATAAGCAACTGTCACAGATCCCAGGCAAATACAAGATGAAGTAAGTTCTATTATGCATAAACAATTTTAACTCTTTCTCTGTTGGCGTCGTATTTCATAAGTTCGACGTTTTTGTGTCCATATAGTCAGCATCGTATGCTATGCAACGAAGAGAAGAATAGCATCATTCAAATTGAATTCGTCGCTACTTATACCTCTCTTTAAATCGGGAGATTTTTATATTTCTAAATATTGCTAGTAGATGGCGCAACTAGTACCAGTTTCTTCCCAATTTTCGCAGTGAGATTTCCAGCCTTGCACTGAAATCAGAATCATTTTGTACTTTCTGCAATTTTGCTTTCAGTAGTGTTACCGTTGCATATTAACTGCAATAAATTATTTCAGTTTTGTGATAAACGTAGTTTTTAAGCTCTGACGCGTAAGACTGATTGTGAAGCTGCTTAAACTGTGAGTTAGGAAAATTATTTTCTAAAATATTTTTACCTTATTTTTGTAATCAGATATTTATCTTAAACACCTTGCAACAACAGAGTTATAAAGATGTTATCCCAGCGTATTTTTTCAATATAAAACTTGAGTGCATAGCAGGGAAAACTGGAAATCAGTGGATGAGACATCACATATTTCACCACTAATTGGTCAAGCAAAAATATACTTTCTAACAAAATTATTTGTCTTTTTCGAATTTAGGATAGAACATATATTAATTTTTAGCAATAAAAGAATGCACTTTTGGATCTGAAATTCGGCAGAGAAGAGATTAAGCAAGTGATGAAGCACTCACCTTCTCGTACGTTTTCTTTGTAAACGATCAAATAATCATCTCTGTCTGATCTGTTATGTTCGTGGTAGAATCCAAGGGCATGTCCCAATTCGTGAATAACTGTTCCTAAAAACCAACAGCGGCCACCTAAATTTATTTCCTGTTTGCCACCGATTCTTCCGACTTGCGAATCGCACCTGTTAAGAGATTTTATATTTTTAAGAATCAAATGAACATATTAATTTTCATTTCAATATTCTTTTCTTTTTTTCAGCACAAATTTAATGGCGTATCTTGTTTTCTATTCCCAATTGCAAATCGAAACGCTATTTAATTTAGTATAATTGGAGTATTTTTTAGCTAAAATCACACAAGTTTATTTTTTGACTTAACATTTCATTATGTAACATTTTATTAATATTCTTATTTTGTGTGTTTTGTAATCTAAGTTATTAGTGAAATTTTTAAAAACAGCATCATCTTCACTTATCATTATATCTTTTTCGAATCATTAATAAAAACGAAATCTAATATTACTGCCTCGTAATTGACTATTTATAAAATTATCAAAGGCAGGCACATGGTCAAGACTAAAAATTGAAAATCGAAATCATACAACAAAAATCAGTTTTTTTTAAAATCGAAGAGTGCCTATCCTCATAAATAGAATGAATACTTTACAAATGAGGGACTTTCCTTTTTCTCTGCCAGGTTTTAAATGACTAGAACAGTTTTATTTTGTATAATTAAAACTGTCATGAGTATATTCAGAATACTGCATTTTATTATATATTTAATATTTTCAGTCCCATTAAGGAAGTTATTTTTTATTAAATCTGTAATTCATAAAAAGATAAAAAAATGTTTTTTTTCTTTAAATTGTGCGATATATACTGATGCATTATGTGAATAATAATATGAAAGGAAAGTTAAATTGTAAGAAGACGGGGGTTCAAAGCTTTTAAGTTTTTAAGAATATAATTGCGTTTATCTCAAGTTCTTCATCAAATCCAACTGAGAAAAAATGTATGGTCAAAACTACTAGAACATAATAAAATATACAGTGTTTCTGGATCTATAGAGACATCAAAAGTGAAACACTTTGGTAAAGGATTTTGAAAACTTAACAATGAACAATAATTTAATAGTATGTGATAAATTTTGTTTAATGTGGTACAATTTCGTAATTTTATTGTGATAACTAGAGCAAAGCATAAAATATTTATTTGGTTAAATTTACTTTTTCCTTTTGTGATTATTATTAAATGTGAGGTAATAAGGACTAAAATTTTGAAAACCAGAATTTTCGGTAAACCGTTACCATATGAACGGGAAAATTACTAAATTAATTGCTTAAATACAGTTTACTTTGGTTTTATTATCAAGAATTTTCTCTATGCATACTAAATGAGTTAATTTTGAGTTACTTTTTTAATTATGGAAAATGGTATATTTTAGGAAATGTTTAACACAATACACTATACAGAAGGAAAAATTAATAAAATAGACACAAGGAAGCCTGTGACGTTCAATATGTTCTGACACCGTTCAAAAACAAACAAAATGATTTAATCTGTTTCAATTTGTAGAAAAGATAGGAAATGTTATATTTTTCTCTTTATGTAATAAACAAACTATTTTGTGTTTAATTAAAAATGCTTAGATAACATACTATTCAATTTGATACAAAATTCCTTCTAACGCTTCAACGAGTGTATTTTTTATCGCAACTTTCTCATGCAAAATAATAATAAATAAAATATACATTATATAATAAAATATAAAATAAAATATACATTTAAAAATTGAAAATCTTATTGGAATATTTTAAGCAGAACGATCAAACTAGATCCTGAACGATTCCAGTATGAAGTGTCAAACGAATGCTTACTTTTCAAGAGTTGAAAATTTGGTGTGTGCTCAAAAATCTCCATATCGCAGAACTGTCTCACTTTAAACAAACCATGATAGAATGTGCTAAATACGGTAGGAGTTGAACAACGTAGTTCCAATGGAAAGAGGGTCGCAATATAGGGAAATCTACTCTAGCATGGTATCGACAAGGGGGACTGAAGCACTCTTAAGGACTAGTACCTAATGTTGATTGGAAGGGCACAGAGCTAAAATTGGAACCCATTACAAAAAACACGAGACCACCAGCATCATTAAATACAGTAAATGTGGTAATCGTGTGAGGTTTGATGGTAGCAAGTAGGCCCAAAGCATTCATCAAGCTAAATAAGGCGAAATAGCCTGCACGAGGAGCAGAGAAGACGATTGTGACTATATATTAACACGAAAATTGTAATTTAGTACCCATCGTGACTTAGAATGAACACAGCAGTGTTAAATAGAGCTTTAAATAATATTTAATTTATTTTCATTAAAAACTGAAAAATTATTTTAAAAATTACAAAACTTTTTTGTTGTGACCTTAAAATTGTAAAAAAAGTTCCAATTGCAGTTTTTTTTTCTGCAACTAAGTCTTAACAACCAAATGCTTGATAAAACTAATACAGTTTTATTCTTCTTCTCTTGATAAATTTTAAATAAATTAATACTTAGAATAAAAACAAGGATCTTAAAAGGAAAACAAAGGCACAAGTATTTGAAAAGAAATTAAATTCGTAAAAAGTATAGTAAATACATTAAATAAATTAGAATGTATTAAATTACTCGTACAGTAATTACACTTTAGTTAAATCAGCAATTTTCAAATTATATTTTTCAGCAATACATACGCGTAGTTGGTAAATGAAGTAACTTAAAACTTAGTAAGAAATTAGTAATTAATCTTAGAAAAAAATCTCTTAATAATAATTATATTCTTACTCAAAGTATGATCAATGACGTAAGGCACAACTGCATTTGGCCATCTGAAATGGTTTCCAACAATAGCATTTCGATCGTCATCCTATGTAGAATTATTAATTTCAAAATAGTATATTTATAAAACATAAATCAAATATATAATTAACAATACATGAAAAAAATTGCAATTTCAAAAGGAACTCAGTGTTAAATGAGAATATTCAAATCTTAAATGATATTAAAATGAGAATATGAATAATTTGAATAATTCTCTTAAATAGCAAAATCTCTGGAAATGCGGAGTTCTTTTAATTTTCATTCCTCAGAAATAGTCTGACCGATTTCCATAATATTTTTGATCTTGACACTTAAAATTACACTTTTTATAAAAAATAATTTACATTTGAAACTTTTTTCACCATTCTTATCCTAGATAAACTTATGAGACCATATTTTTGAAATTTCTGCTACACCCATTTTTCAAATATTGAAAATCTAGTCAAAAAAAAGCACGCCTATTCAGATAACCGTACATTAATTTATGTATCATGGACTGAAATTCTTGGTAAAACAAGTACGGTAATTTTGATTTTAAAAAAATTATTACTCTTTTCGGTATTTGAACTAGATTCTGCATAAACTAATTTGTATATTTCAAGCCCTCTCTTTAAATCATTAAAAATTACATCTTTGTTTGTTAATTTTCAAATCACAATAATGAAAGTTATAAAAGTTTTATTCTAGCATAATTTAAATTTCACTTTCAGATACCTAAATCTCTTAACAAAGGTTTTAATTTTAGTTCGCGCCTACTTCAATGATCTTCAATAAAAAATAACTTAGAAAGCTAAGCTAATCAATTAGATTTAATTATTGGCATTATATTTTTACTATCATTATGTTAAATTAATAAGTATCAAAATTAAATGTCTATTATGTTACGAATTTTTAAATTCTAATAACATATAACAATTACATACGAGTTTTTGTACTGGTTTTAATATTTAAGCACCTTTTTTAAGGAAACAACGGAAATTAAAAGGGAAATTTTTAAATTCTTTTTTACTTAATCCAAAATAATAAAAAATTCTATGATTTATAATTTTTTTGACTTTATTTTTAAAGGAATTAATTTAAAGGAATTTCTATCTTCCCATTGATATATGTTATTTCCTATTGATATATGATATTTCCAATTGGTAACCTCAGAAAAATCAAATTTCGCATATAAATATAAATAGCCTCAAATATCTATTTATAAAAGCATTCCACATTGTTTAATAAAAATAAAAGAATCCCTTATGACTCATTTTTTATTCGAAATCATGCGTTTCGATACACTAATATCACAACAAGCAGTTTTTCAATGAATATTTCAGTAAAACAATCCCTTACAATCTTTAAAATAACTATACGAAGTTTGATTCAAACTTTTTGAAAAATTAGTAAGGAAAATGTTAGATTTGATAATCAAAATAAAAAATGAAAATCTGTACAAAAAATATTTTATTGAAATAAAATTATCCAATTAAAGCCAAAACTGCAATGTTATTTTTAAACTAATGTTGCAAACCAACAAAAAATGTCGATACCTAAAAATGTCTATACCAATAGCCAAACATCTTTTTTTTCTCTTTTCAATCAAAAAACATTTTCTCTCCAAATTTCAATAATTTTTAAGGTTATAGTCCCCTTATTAGCTACGCTATTATCAATATCTTAAATTAGATATCTTACGGGCATGAAAGCTTTGAAAATTTTTCTACTTATGATTAGAAAACAAAAGTTTGTAGTTTTTCGCCCACATTATAGAAGATTCCAGATCAAATTACGGTAAAAATTACTGGAGTTCAGATGTTAGTAATTTACTGTAAAATTAAATTTTTCCGGAACATGTTACGAAAGAAAAATCTGATATACCGTAATTTTTACGGCAATAATTACCTTAAAATCACTTTAAATTAACGGTACTGTAAAAATTACCATATAATTTTTCACGGTAAAAATGGATTTTACGCTAAAGTGGATTTTAGAATGATGCACCCAAAGATCCCGTACTTTAAAGCGCAATTCGATCTGAAATTTTTTTTCATAGTACTTTTTCTCAACACTTTGTTCCAATCAATTCAAAATCAAGCTTGCTTAAGAGGAGGTTTGATTACTAGGATGCGTTTTCTGCCATGAGGAATTAATTTTTCCACTTTTTTGTAAAGCTCTGAATGCGATTTAAGAATAATTGCTTTATCGTTTGTTTAACAAGTTTTTTTTCTAAAAATTGTTAAATTTTTAGTTTTTGATTTTAAGTTATCTAGAACCAATATAAAGTTAACTTATTCAGAAAACAAATATAAATGATACCACAAATTTAAATTTCAAATCTTAAAGTTTTCTGCCAAGAGGAATATT